GCCCCAGCCCACCCCACCGCCCTCCCAGGAGGTGCTGCTCAGTGGGGAACGTTCCCCAGCCAAACCCCTTGCAACCAGCAAGCCCCCGGCTCCGCCAGCCCAGTCGGGAGCCCCGAGCCATGGACAAGCCCCCGCTCCCCACAGCCCTGGCCCCCACCCCGGGGAAGTGCCCAAGTGGGAAGGGTGCAGGGGGCAGAGGCAGCCCCGGGGCCCAGCACCACCCACGCCCAGGAGGTTCACACCAGATCTGATCCCCCCCAGCCCCAGCTCCCATTCCCCACACTCACCCCTGGGCTCGGAGTCGTGGACTCCTCGGTCATCTTTGGCGAGGAGCTGGGCCTGGGCCCCCAGCGCCCCTGAGAGCGCCAGCAGCCCTGAGGCACTGCTGATGCCGGCGAGGCCGGTGGGCTGCATCCCGGAGGGGTGGGGGGTCAGCGGGATAGGGGGAGCATGGTGCGAGAGGTGCTGGGTCTGGAGCTGGTGCTGGGGAGGAGCGGGAGGAGAGAGCAGAGCTGAAGGGCCACGTCAGGACCAGGATGGCAGCAGGGCAGGGGGGCGAGAGGCCGCTCCTCTCCCAGCAGCAGCCCTGGGTCAGCCAGGGGAGGGGGAGCTGGGTGAGGAGGGGCAGGGCACGCTCCCCCCCACCAGCCAAGCTGCGGGGGCTACCACATCCCTCCCACCACCTCCACCCACCCTGCGACAGGAGCTATTGGGACGGATGGGAGACCCTACCCATATCTATACGTACTGCTGCTTACTCAAGGCAATAACTGAGGTGTGGGGACAGTGGTGACGCCCCCCTCCACCCGGGCCACAGGGTGTCAGGACACAGTGACATGCACCAGCCATCACCCCGCACCCTGCTTGGACACTGCTGCAGCAGCAGCTCCTCCACCCTGAGTACTGCTGGCAGCCCCCCAAACCAGCCTGGCTTGCCCCCCTCCTCCCTCCTCCTCAGCAACAGGTGGAAGAAGGCACTAGGTGCAGGGGGCTGCAGCCGAACCCCGTGTGCTGGGGCAGGACAGCTCTCCAGCCCAGGGGATGGTGGGAGGAGAGGAAGTGCCATCGCCTGCAGGAGCCCAGCACCCCCAGCCGGGGGGTGGCGGGAAGGGGTGGGCGGAGGGTTGACGTACCCCGATCGCCGCGTTCAGGTCGGTCATAGTCACCTGCTTCGCACGCTCCACGGCCTGGACCACCTGCTGCTGGTGCTGCAGGGAGAGAAGAGCCCATCAGCACTGGGCGATGCCTCTGCCAACTCCCGCGGCCAGCGGGGCTGCGGCAGACTCGTTTCTTCAGGGAATGGGGCGAAGCCAGCCCCCCCAGCCCAGCCCAGCATGCAGGGCCTGAGTCCCCAAGCAGGGATGCTCCCTGTGCCCCGAAGGAGCTCTGCACGCCTGTCGTGGCCTGAGGGCCCACCCACCTCCTGAGACAGGAACGGGATGAGCTGGGCGCAGATCACGTTGAGCCGCTTCGCGATCTCCGTCTGGCAGCAGAAGAGAGGCAGTGCCCGTCAGGGCAAGGGGCAGAGCTGCCCCCATGCCGAGCAGCCCCCGATGCTGCAGGAGACCCCTCCTGCCAAGGGTGCTCCCTAGGTGGACAGACACCCCCTCCCCATCACCACCCAAGCAGCCACAGGGTGCTGGCACTTGGCCCCAAGAGCTGCTGCTCAGCACCAAGGAGCAGAAACGCCTCGGGGGGGGGGACCAAGAAAGCTGCTTCCTATCACCACCTTTCCAAAAATGTGAGCCCAGCATCCTCCATCCCCACCCCAAGAGCCCCGGGATGGTTCCCACCTCCTCCCTGCCAGCGACATGGAGACGCATGGCACAAGCCATTTTTTCACCAAGCAAGCCCCCCGAGCCCCACCAGTCAGGGCCCTGGCTTGTTCCACTCCGCGCAGCCTCCTGCCAGCACCATGACGGCTAATTGCTGCTCTCCCGGCCTGCAGGAAGCCCTGGAGAGGTGCTCTCCTTACAGCTGCTGTTTTTCTGCAACACTTGAGTGCCACAGGCAATCAGGAGCGCAGTGCAGCGCGGGGAGGGAAAGCGGTGGCGTGCCGTGCTGTGCCGTGCTCCCATCGCACCCCACAGCCAGGGCAGCCCAAGGCTGTGCATCCTGGGCTAGGGGAGAGCACAGGCATTAAGCCACCCCTGGCCCCACAGACACATCCCCGGGGAGAAGCCCTGGGGTGCAAGGTCAGGCACCGGCCCCGAGCACCAACGGGTGACAGCCGGGAGAGCAGACATGGCTCAAAGCAACAGCAGAGACACCTACGCTGTTCCTCAAGTTGCAGAGCCAGGGACCCCACCCCAGCACCGGAGAGAGGGCAGAGATCAGCAGTGCTCCCCAGACCCAGGCATCCTCTACTCCTGGACAGGTGGGGGATGCCCCGGGCACAAGGGGTCCAGGCAAGGTGCTGTTCCAAGCTCTGAGGAGCTCCCTGCCCACCCCGGTGGAGAGGACGAAAGCGTTATGGGGCTGAGAGAAGGGGGCTGAACCCAGACCCTCTTCATCAGTCCCAGGAGACCAAAGGCTGAAGGGTCCCGTCAGCCAGGGATGGAACTGACCCTCAGATGTCCCCACCAGGATCTTGGGCACGTCTCCCATGCCAGGCTGGCGCAGGCGCCGCAGTGCCAGGGGCCGCAGCGCTGCCTGGCTGATGTGGGGACACAGACCCAGGGACACCCCATGCCGCCCTCCAGAGCGGCCACCAACCCGTTTTTGCCAGACCGTAGAGAGCAGAAACAATCCAGCACCCGCCCTCGCTTCCCCTTCCGAGGGAGGAAAAAAAAGAGAAAGAAAAGAAAGAAGGGGGGGAGCAAGGAGATTTGGCAGCCGGCAGTTCTGGGAAGGATTTAGCTGTCTCCTGGGGCCGGCAGTGATGGATTCTCTTCCCTAATGCACTGATGGGCAGCAGCTCCTTGGGGAGAGCTGCCTCCAATTCACTCGCACTCGTTAATGTGCAATTTACTGGCACTTTAACGCTCTCAGCATGAAAAATGATCATGCTGTTTGCAGCCCCCCCAGCCACCAGCACCGTCACCTCCCCTCCGGCTCACGGTGAGCAAGTCCAAGGCCAGGCAGATTCGGGGAGGTGGTTTTGTAAAAAGCTACAGGCCCCTTCCACACCAAAAACAAAACAACAATAAAGAATTAATGTCTCCTGCTCGTTCCTGTCTTGAGCCTCCCCTGCCAAGCCTCCGGCTGCCTGGAGAGCTGCACCGCTACAGCCATTCCCCTCCAAAGAAACCCAGGGCAAAACCACCCCACGCCTCGGCCCTTGCCAGAGCCGGCGCTGCCGACACCAGCACCGCGGGAGCCGGGTGCCCGGGGAGCCTCTGGGGACTCTGGGCTGGGTACAGCGAGGACCGAGGCAGCACCACACCACGGCACTACCTGCCTTCGCCAGTGGCGATGAGGCAAGAGCTTCCTCGCGGGTCCTGGGGCAGCCGAGAGCACTCAGGACCCCTGCCCATGCCCATGAGCAGCGCTGGATCTGGGGGAAGGGGAGAAGAGACGGCGACCCGATCTCCCCGCGGCGGCGATAACCGGCGGCTCCCGCGCAGGCAGTTCCCATTTTTCACACAATGGCCGCTGGCTGTCAGAGCAGACTC